GAGTTCCCGTAATTACAGCAAAAAAAAATTCTCAAAAATTTTAAATTTATATATTGAATATAAATAAAACATAACGCGTTTTAAATATTCGATTAAATTTTTTTTTAATTGCATAGCATTTCATGGATACACGTATTCCATTTTAAATGAAACATCTGTATGCCTTTCATGGAAATGAAAAATAATTGTGTTTTTCATTTAAAAAATCTAAAACTAAAATAAATGTTTGTTAATTAATATATAAAAATGTTTTTCATCCCCCCTAAAATGAGTCCGGAAATTCCAGACTACTCCATCCTGTACCGGACCGGGGACTACGGGCGGGTCGTGGACGACCGGGTCGTCTTCGAGGGGCGGACCGACTCCCAGGTGAAGGTGAGAGGCCACCGGGTCGACCTGTCCGAGATCGAGGCCGCCCTCTCCAAGGTCCCCGCCGTGGCCAAGGCCACCGTGCTCTGCTACCATCCGGGGGGACTCGATCAGGTGATGAGTTCGAAAATTCTCTGGTAAAAATTATGAAACTAAATAGTAAAAATGTAATATAAAAATTAAAATAAATATTAAAAATTAAATATAAAAATTAAAATAAAACAAAAATACATATATATCAGGTTGTAAAGGTGAAATTTAGACATTTTCCATAAAACAATTTATCGACAATTAACTCAACAACGACTAGAGTGCAGTCTTGCGTCAATGTATCTGTGGGCGTGAGTGCTTATCGTGAACCTACAAAGGTTCGCGATAAGCACTCACGCCCACAATGCCCACTGGTCACTCTACTTATGCACCTACATAGAAAGTTCTAACATTTTCCAAATTTTTCTAGAAAAAATCGAAATGTCTAAATTTCGCCTTTACAACCTGATATATAATCATGCGAATCATAACAAAATGAAAACGTTCACTGACGTTTTTATCCTTTTGTTTGGGAATGCCATGAGTACTTTGCGGTACTGTAATAGAGATTAGATTTCCGCAGCAGCTACATTTGCTAAATTTGCTAAATTTGATTGATTTCGATTTTTATTTAATTATCCAGGAAATCGTCGCCTTCTACGTGGGCGCCGCCGCCCCGGAGGCGGTCCGGGACCAGCTGACGGCGTTCCTGGTCCACTACATGATGCCGTCGGTCCTGCGGATGGAGGGGATCCCGCTCCTGCCCAACGGGAAGATCGACCGGCAGGCGCTGCTTCGGACGTTTCAGGCGCAGCATTTGTGTCAGCGAATTTAGCAAAAAAATTATCTAAAATTTAAAACGCTTAAATATTAATTTATAAATTGAATTCAAAATTAATGTTCCCAAATAATAATTTTTAAATTGAATTGAAAAATTAAGACTCTTCACAAATTATTTTAAATTGAAATTAAAATTAAAACTTAAAAAATATATTCTTAAATTGAAGTTAAAATTAAAGCTTTCAAATAAATTTAAATTTTCCCCTTGACCCTAATTTTCACGAAAGGCCGGTGATGTGGCAGGTTCCGAGGTGACTGTGTCCGAGGACCTGATCGAGAGGCTTCCGGAGGAGAAGAGGGAGGCCGCGACCTCCCTCTTCCGGATCATGGCCGAGGTCCTCGGCTCCCGCGTGACCCGGGAACTCCTGAGCCTCAAGTCCAACTTCTTCGACATCGGGGGGAACTCGCTCAACGCCGTCCTCGCCTCCGCCCGCCTCACCGACCTCGGATTCCCCATCAGTCAGTTCCCCTCAGTCTCCTCTTTATTTTTTTTTAAAGAAAAACAATAAATAATTACCATATTTTTTTAGGTATTGGAGAGTTCTTGAAGGCTTCTGATCTTGAAGAAGTCTTGGAAGGCATTTGCTCGAGGCATGCCAGGGAGAGTGCCTGTCGAGGGTCGCCTTATCTCATTGAGCCTCTGACGGATGAGGACAGAGAGGAATGCATCCGGTAAGACCAAACCCTGCAAGGGCAACCCTCCAAGGGCAACCCTTCAAGAGCAACCCTCCAAGGGCAACCCTACAAGGGCAACCCTGTAAGAAACGCTTGGGACATCCGCAGCGATTGTTCCATTTGCTTCTAGGATGATGTCCCGGGCCTTTGTCACGAAGGGGGACCTGGAACAGTTGGTCGATTGCACCGAGGCCGACTTCCACGCCTTGTTGAATGCGATGTGGCCCGTCTATCTGGAACACGACCTCAGGTGGGCGAGGTTGTGGGACCTCCTCGTGTAACGCGAGTCCAGGTGGGTGAGGCTCAGGGATCTCCTTGCATGGCACCTCAGGTGGGTGAGGTTGTGGGCCGTCCTCGGATGGCACGACCTCGGGTGGATGCGGTTGCGTGGGCTCGCCCGGTAAAACGGAATCAGGTGGGTGAGGCATGCGAAACCTGCTTGCCGAACGTGTCAAAAAAGGCAAGGGATGTCGAAAGTGTTGCCGGATCGCAGTCTCAATTTGCCGAAGGACCTCAGTATATAGCACGAGTGAAGGTGGTCGAAGTTTTGTGGGACCTCCGAGCAGAACATGACATCAGGTGGGCGGGAGATGAGGGACCTCAAGTGATGTCGCAGAGACAGCTCAAATTTACTCGAGAGTGAGAACTAGGTAAGTCAAACTCGAGAAAAAACACATACAATTGCGTTTTAAGACTGGGGAAAGAGAGAAATGAGGGTCCTGCCCCCGATCCCTCTGGCTTCAACGCCCAACAGAATTGCGCTTCTTCCCATCCCTGGCCGACTGATCTGGGCTCTGAATTAGGCAGTGGAAACACTCAATGAAATATTTAAAAATGCGTGCTGCCGAAATTAATTATCCAGTAAGGATCGAGCAGTCGAGAGATGACTTTCAGCCAATGACTGCCAGTCAAGAGGGAAAAAAAGACTCCTGGAAGACAGAAGAGAGCACCCACATATTGCGGAAAGGATCACCGTATCGTCTCGACGAAAGACACATTCATTGTTCATTTGTTCACACCGCCGTCGAGCTGCCGCTCTCGCGGGAAGAATGCCAGAACCTTTCCGTCAGCGTCGCCTTTCAACACGCTCAGGGAATTTGGACTTAGGAACCCCGGCGACATGCCAGAACCTCAGGCTTGAGTCACGCAGCCTCAGGTGGGAATCGACAGTCACCAAGCGCCTCAAGAGGACGAAATATAGAAATATAGAAACTGCATCCCTGTAGTATGTAGTGGGAATGCTATCGATTTCCTGCCAGAGAGCAATCGCACCGTAGAAATAGAGGCATTTCCGACCGCAATCGAGACTCATCACAGGCACCGTCTCCCACGATTTCACTCATTCGCTGAAATTCTCGTGACTCCCGCGATTTTGTTTTTGTCCCAGCTTCATCGCGCGGAGATCCGACGGGCGACTGGTCGGAGCAGCCTTCAACCTGGACATGTTCAACGAGCCCGACCTCCACCCGCCCCAGGCGCTCCTCCCGGTCTTCACCCTGCTCAGAACCCTGGAAGGACCACACAAGTTCGTCCATCCCGTCTCACCTCCTCCCCGACCTCCTTCTTGAAATCTCGACTTGGATTGCCCAGGCGCATCCACATGCCCAAGGCGGAGAACGAGGTGCTCCACAGCGGCATGATGTCCACGGACGAGGCCCTGTCCAAGGAGGAGAACGTCCTGGTCATGCAGTGCATGGAGGAAGAAAATCTCCGCCAGGCTCAACGGAGGGGATACTCCACCATTTTCACCATTAATACGAGTGCCTTAACCCAGGTACATCGATAATTAACCATTTAACTAATAGTTTATGGATGAACAACTTTGATGATTTTTTTTTGGCTCGATCAGCAATTGGCATCGGTGCTGGGCTACGAATTGCTCGAGGACTTTCAGGTGAATCAGTTCGTGATGCCCGACGGCTCCATGCCTTTCGCCGGGGCGAAGGACACCCAGAGGGCCATCTGCGTCGTCAAGCACGTCCTCTGACGGCCGCCGTTTCGTCCTGTGTCTCAACCCTGCAAAAATATATATTGTATTCGGTTCCCCCCCCCCCTTCCCGCTCTGCAAAATGTCGGCAGACACGTCACTCCTTCGAATGAGAGAGAGCACATTGTGACGAATTTACAAAAAAAGGGGTATGACAGAATTTCATATATTGAAAAGGGGAAAATACGTTTGTGTCGACGACCTGCTCACACTCAGCGAAAGAATCATAGCGGAAACGAAGCCTTACGACTCGCGCAAAATCGGGTTCTCCACAATATATAAATTATATTATATAGAGATATATATATTAGAACGACTGGGTTGATTGTCCCCCCCCAGGAAAAAAAAAAAAAAAACATTTCTTGTTTCTCCCCGACCTTAGGCATTCCTCTCCGACCTCTTTTCCCTCTGCTTTGCCTCCCTTATCGGTATGGACCAGGCGTTACCCGTATTTCTTGGGACCAGTAATCGTGGGTTCTTCTCCTCGTTCGTCCTGTTCCCCTCACTCTCCTCGATGCCCTGATTGAAGTGCATTCTTACTTAGTCTTGGCAGGAAAAGGAAGCCCACCCCCCCCTCCCCCCATCACCCCCCACCCCCTCCGCCCCCCACGACCACCAATCCTTGGCAACCATTTGTTTCCTGTTGCAAATATTTTCTAGCAGGAATGCCTTTTTACGTGTGTGTTGGCATCCTCTTCCCAGAAGTTGTACTGCACAGGTTTGCTTGTTGACTGTGCGTAAATACAACTGACAACGTTCGTTAGAAATCCAATGGCGTACTTTGGTTTCGGCCTTATTTGAAGTTTCAATGCTGTGGAATCAGATGTAGCTTTCTAAAACTCTATCCCTCTAGAAATAAGAAACCTCATCGCATGACGTGGGACTGCCAAGGGATTTAAATGGCTGATGTATTTAAATGACCAAGGAATTTAAAGAGCCAAGGGATTCAAATGGACAAGGGATTTAAATGGCCAGGAGATTAAAATGGCCAAGGGATTTAAATGGCCGGGAAATTTAAATGGCCAAGGGATTTAAATCTTATAACTGGAATACCTCCGAAGTGGGGCCGAGGACGTTAGACCTCTGAGCTCCGCCCGATTGGAAGGGCAAGGCTTGTGCATCCGGAAAACAGGCTCAAGTTCGATCTGAGGCTAGAACAGTGGAAATTGGGCAGTAAAAAAACGGTATCATTTGATTGCAGGAAGCAATGAGCCCTACGCGAATCAATCTAATCGGCACCCCAAAATGAATTATTAACTCGCGTATTTTTTAATGCTAGCCATCGATTGGTGGAATAAGGGCAACTCAAATAAATATGATTACTTTAGTGTAACATTAATGTAAAATAAATGTAACATTAGTGCCTCAGTTAGAGAGGTACATTAGTACCTCTGTAACTATTGCCCTGTGAAGGTCGGCCATAGCAGAAAGTAACGGCAAGCCAACAGTCGCAATAGAGAAGCCTAAAGTGATCCTGGAGGAAAGAAGTTGTCCACATCCCGCCCATTCATTTTTTAAAGTGGGAACGGATCGACTTGATGGAGGGCACGGCAGGGAATGATCCCATCGATTTTCCTGCCAAAAAGTAATCATATCTGGGGATAGGGCCCTTATCGACCGCAGTGGAGACGCATCTCAGACGAGGCCTTCTCGCCGATAAACCCGGAAATGGGCCTTTTCGCTGTCCTAGGTTCCTCGCTGGAGGACCGGAGGGGAGGCGGCTCGGAGCAGCCTTCAATGTTGACCTGTTCGTGGAGCCCGACCTCCTCTTCTCCGACTCCGAGCATTCACCATGCTTGGAACCCTGGAAGGGCCACACGAGTTCGTCCGCATCGTCTCACCTCGTTCCCGACTGCCTTCTTGAAATGTTGGTTTGAATTGCCTAGGTGCATTCACATGCCCGAGGGGGCGGGGGGGGGGGGGCGAGAGATGATCTACAATGGGATGGTATTCGAGCAGGAGGCTTCTTCCAGAGACGGATCATAGTAGTCCTAGTCAGTTAATGCAAATAGAAAGGGAAAGTTCATTCACTGTTTGAGACAGGGAAACATAGAGTACCATACCAGGGTTGGCAGAACTGTAGGAAAAAAATATGGATTCCGCATTCCACCGTCCTCAGTTTTCTTCGGAAAAAAAATTAAAGAAATAAAGAAAGAAATAAGAAACATATAGCGTGCGAAAGTGACGACCCTGCTGACGCGGCATCGAAAAAATTTTCCCTTTAAAAATTTCTCGGATCTCGTTGATTCGGAGGTCATCATTGCTTTCGTTGCACTCATTCTCCTTATTCGCATCATTTATTCATGCAGTAATGCCAATAAGGCAAACATAATTGATCGATTCACGAGCGCATGGTAATGAGGGCAGGCAGGCTGATCCATCGATCCAGCAACCCTGTCCCCCCCCCCGTCCGCACTTCGCCCGCCTTATCATGCGCCGCCACCCGTCGAAGCAGCCTACCTATTGTGACCGAACAAAAGGGGGGACTGATTGCGAGTCATGCAATAATTAAACGTGTGTCGAATGCTTCGAAATAATCTCATGAAATGACCTTCAGAAATGTTCTTGAGAAAGGACCTTAATATTTTATTTTCATGAATGAGGAATTTGAATGCGGAATTCATAATTTCTTTAAACAGCGAATTTTGAGAACGTTAAGCACATTTTCATATGGAATTTACCAAAACTTAAATTTAAAAAAAATCATTTTGTTTTAATATTATCAAAGAAATGCATCTTTTTTTCATAATTTCATCGCTATTTCGTTAAAAATCCTTGAAAAGGGCAATAAAGAACGACGGGGCATCGATGACATTTCCATCACCTGGAAAACTCATCGCGTGTTTATTTCATTTTTAAACCGAAAAGAAATGCCTGACGGGCCTTGTCTGTTTTTAAATGCAACTCCCCACCTGTTCATCGAATTTCCCCGCAGTACTTCGCCAATACCCTCATGATCCCCCCATGCATAAAAAAAATTAAAATTCTCGCCTCGATAGAGAAATTTACTTTTATTTACTTTTGCAACAAATGAATGACTCCAGAAAGGACCGTCACAAAGGGTCAGAACACATGTTTCAACGGTGACGCACGCAGGGGGGAAAAAAATCATTCAAACTCGCACAGAGCGGCGACCAACGCAGGCGACCAGCCAGGTCCCTGGCGTCCTATTTCTCTCCGCTCGGGTGACGGAGGGATTTAATCCTATCCGGGGGACTGCCTCATGATATGGTTCGGCACGGATCAGCGTGACATTAAATCAACTCACTATGGAGCTAGTTAATTAATATGATATTAATGCTATGCAGCTCCCACGAAAACGTTGTTATTCTATATTTAAAATGTTTGCCTTTAGTGTCTTCGTCACATTGCACATTACTTGCGCAATATTATCCGAGAGGTGGACATTAATCCATTAACACTCTCCCATTGTGGATTTCCAGCCAATTGTGGCGAAGGTGCAAACTGATTTTTCATGCTAACCCCAGCGTCTATCCCAACCTGCCTGCCTTTACTACACTTTTTACACCCAGCCTTCCTGCATCCAGCCTTCCTACACCCAGCCTTCCTGCATCCAGCCGTCATACACCCAGCCTTCCTGCATCCAGCCGTCATACACCCAGCCTTCCTGCATCCAGCCTTCCAGCACCTAGCCTTCCAACACCACTCCTCACTCCCCTCCCACACTGTGCCCCCTCCCAGCGACACCCTCCAACACTGTTTCAACACACTCCAGCACCTTTTTAGCACTCTTTCACACTCAATCAATACGTGAATGGTGCGGGATTTTCATTAAGGTATTTGCGCTTTGCTCCCTGTTCCATAATAATGGTATTCCAAATGTGCTCCAAAATTAGGGGTTTTTTTTGAAAGGGGGGGGGGGGTTTCACCTTCGTGCCACATGTTTATCAAGTTTTAGGTTAATGCCGTGTCCAGAACGTGGACAGAATTACCATTATAATGATTAGATGGCAATGCAAATAAATATTTTGCGTGAATGAACCGAAACACGCGAATTCTCAGATTCAAAGAGAAATTGGATTCTTCCCAAAGACGACTGCAATAAGTTTCAGTGTGGTAATCGGTTTCGAATTAAATTTTTGTTTCAGCCGGTACGATCGCTTTATTAACTTCGAGGGAATCTGGCGATGCCAAGACGACGTTCTGGGCGCAACGCAGCGACACCTGGGATCGGCTCGAGGAAACAGAAGTTCGTGGAACAGACACGGGGTGTCGCCGAAGTAGTCGGTGTAGCGAGTCGAAACGGCAGCAAATAGTTGCTATTTCTTTCCACGCGGTTCCCCTCTCTTCCTCTAGGCACGACAGGGAAGATGGGGGAGGGTGGGGCACCATGGGTCACCTTTTTTTGCGACCCTCTTACACAACCCAGAACTTACATTTTTTTAACGCTTTAAAGTCGTGTGAAAAAATCATATTTAAGAAAATGGGGCACCGTGGGTCGATGTCCGGGGTCCGATGGGTCACTCCCACGACCGACGCTGAGACGAACTTTATTCGACCCAAAGTAATCTCGCGAAGAAATCCTTAAAACAGCAATGGACTTCGAGAAAAATTGAGGACCTTTAATCAGAAAATAATATTCGTTTCGCGTCCGGGAATTCCGCTGAACCCCACGGAGTTTTTGAACTTTTTATTTTAAAAAGGACCAAGAGAATCCTCATCTGTATTGCCAACAGTCATAAAAATTTTGGCGCACTGAGTGCCAACTTTTTGCCAAAACCCCTTGTGCCAAAATGGAGTGGTTTCTCCCCTCCCCCCAGATGAGCCATTAAAGTGAATATTTTCCAATCAGAGTAAAAGTTGAGATTGTAGCAGACTTTAAACTTCTCATCTCCCGAATCGAATTCCAGTAATAATGAAGACTCATCAAATCGAATTTTATCATTATTAAATAATTAGCGAAAATCCAGACGTCACCTCCAAGAAAAGGAAAACAAAAAGTGTAAACAACAGAATAAGTCAACACGATTAACACTTCGGACTGGAATTTTTTTCACTGCACTATCCTGGTCCCGCTATCCTGGCCCGACTATCCTGGCCACACTATCCTGGCCCCTCAGCAGG